ACTACAAATCATGATAAAAATTTATTGAACAATAATTAGACACAAATTTTTATAACCTTATAAATTTCAGTTGATAATAAAAATACAATAAAAAGTGTCATCTAACATATACCCATTTGTTTACATAGGAGAATATAAAGTTTGATTGAGCTGGGGTACCACTTGTGTACGTCCACAAATGAGAACCCATTTTGTAGCTTTGAGTAATGTCTAGCTAGCTTGATTCTCTTGACGCAGCAAGCAGCAAGTTGCAAATGAGGTCACTGTTACCTTTGCTTGTTCTTGTCTATCCCTTTCAAAACGCCATGTGATATCACACGTGGGAGCACCTAGACAACAAGAATGTGCAAACTGCCTCTCTGCTCTACAATTTGGACATCTTGCTCTCAATATTAAAATCAAAACGTGCATGCTTCTGTGTTTTACAACATCATATATATCGAATGCGATTTCTTCATATTTCACATCAATATCTTCTCTACATCATGTTCAATGTTTTTTATTTGAAGTAGAAGGATCAAATTTTCAAAGGACAGCCAAAGTTCCGGTTTTGTTTTAAACTTTAGAAGCATGCTTTTTTAACTTACAAGTACAAGTCTTTAAGCCAAACCAAATATAATATGCAAGGTTGCCTAACTATATAGTGCAACTTCAACTTCAACTTCGACCTTAGCTACTTACACGTTGGCAAACAAAAAGAACAAAACTTTAACATAAAAATGTAATGAACTAATTATTTAGAATCTTACAATTCATTAAAATTAAAATTATCTTTGACAAATGTTTGGTATATTAATCCCCGATATCGATGATCCTTCCCTTGGAACTTTTCATTATTAAAAGTGGTTATCATAATAGGGGTGTGATTAAAGTGATTGAACGGTGATGATGAGGAAGAAGATTTGTGATGAGGTAAGAGTGGGAGCAAGGGATCCTAATCTAATCATCGTTCTCATCTTCTTTCTGTAAAGATTAAGGGTTGGCTTTTGACCATTGACTGAGAGGCACGTGCAGCGCATCCTTCTTTTCGTTCAAAACGCAGAAACGATGATTTCGGCGACGCACGTGCACTCCCTTGTCCCGACATGTACTAACATAATCATGCCTTAACTCTCACCTTTCTATTATTTATTACTTTGAATATATCCCTTTACCCCTTAAATTAATCCCACGGTTAATTTTAATGCAAAGTCACGTTAATGATATCATATAAATTATAAATTGAAGTGGTACCCACCATGCACGTGACATGCCTAAACTCTAACTTCAATTTAAAGTTTTTTTTAACCTTAATGCCAGAACCAACTAGTACTTAGTTTATTATGACAACACAGTTGTTGCTTACTCGACACCGCCATTTAACACGCACCAATTAAAAAAACATAAACTATGGTTTTGGACTGCTCCATCAAGGTTTCATTTTACTCATTTTACATTCATTTTTTAAAAAAATTACTTGTTTTAGGCGTGTGCTTGTATTAATGTCTCCATTTGTATATAAAATTTATTTTGATATTAGTTTTTATAACGTGAGAATTAAATTGCTATTACGTGTTTCTAAAATTCAAAAATATTTCAACTTAATTATTTAAAGATTGAAATATATTTTATTTTTTGAAAAAATAATGCATATCAGGAAACAAAAACATGGGAAAAAACCAGCGTGAGTGCATATTAATGTATAGGTCACGTTTTAAATGGGAGAAGAAAGAGTGAGATATATGAAACTATTATTATTTATCTCATGATAAATATTTTTTATGAGCCTTATGATGTAGTCATTTTTAAAAAAGTTATTACAATTAGTATTTCCTTAATTTATTGTTTAGCAATGTCAATGGACTATGCAAGTATAATTAGGGGTGGGCAAAAAAAACTAAATTAAACTGAACTGAACTGAACTTGTGGTGAACTGTACTATAAAAAATTGAACTGTTTGTAAAAAAAACTGAACTGAACTGTTTAAAAAAAACTGAACTGAACTGAACTGTTGTAAAGTTGAACTATACTGAACTATAAAAACTGAACTGAATTATAAAAATTGAACTATTTTTATAAAAGAATAAAAATTAAATGTGTTTAACATGTTATGTCTTAATAGATTAGTTCGATAGTTTAATAACCAAAATTTTAGAAAAAAAGTGATTTGAAAAAAAATTGTATCAATTTTGTTGAACTTAACGGATCAATTGAGCTATGTTGAACTACTTATTTTTAGGCGTAAAATTCACTGAGTTTGTTTGACTTAATTTTATATTTTTTTCCTTTGAAAAATTTAAATAAAATGGAAAATAAAGTAAAGTTGACAAATGTGTCCTATTTTGATAGATCAATGAGTCAAAATTGTTCAATTCAAAATATCATAACAGTTTAGTGCAATTTAAATTGCAGTTCAATTCAAGTTTTTATAGTATAGTTCAGTTCAGTTCAATGACACAAAAGAATAGTTCAGTTCAGTTCGTCTGAACTAATATTTAGTTTAGTTCAGTTCATATGAACTACTTTTAAGTTCAGTATAGTTTTTATAAGTTCAATTCAGTTCAGTTCGTTTTGCCCACCCCTAAGTATAATGCTACTTTAAAACAAATATAAAATCCACAAACACTAAAAGTATTCGACCATGTGAAAGTAAAACAGGTATGAAGTTAAGAATGGTAGGAAATTTCAAAAACGGCCCAAATAAAAAAAGAGAAAATGCAAAAGGAAAAAGGCTTTTGAAATTGTGATGCAGCATTGGTCCACTTCATTTGGACTTTAACAAATAGCCCTCTAATCGTAGGCCCAGTACCTCTCTCTGAAGTAACTGACATTTGTTGGACTCTTATGTTTTGGGTTATAGGCAAAGTCTATAGATGCCACATGCCTTGTTATAAAACGACACGAGTCTCTGATTTTCAGAGTATCTGTACTCCCACTCGACTACAAAAAAAATAAAAAAAAATCTAATTGTTTAAAATAAATATTAAGGTTTAAGTACATATTAAGGCTTGATTACTTATTAAAAAATGGTTGTATTTTTAAAACTTTTTCAGATTTTTTTTTATAATTGAATTTAATTACAAAATAATTGTTTTAATACTAGACCTAAAAACTAATGATGGGCTTAGATGAACTATTATTTGGAAAGTATAATTGTATAAGTAATGCCAAAAAGAAAAAAGACTACACTTCAATACATGTTTGGTTTTAATATCTCTAATACGTCATCTGTTTGAAAAATATGAACCAAACATTTAAATTTTTGAAAGTGTTCTAATTACATATTATCATGTGTGTGCGCATATTTCTAAAAGCAGATTGGAACAAGTTTTAGAGTATAGAGTGGTGTTTACTTTTTTAATCTGAATTTTAAATTTGTAACACAGAATGAATTGAAAAATAAAAAATTAAGCGATCTTATGCATTAAAATGTTGATGGTTTTGGTTTATTTTCAGAATTGAAGGTGTAAAAAGAAATGTTTCAAACATAAATTAATACCTTATAAAAATATTAAAAAAATTATCAAAAGACTATTTCTTTTCCAAATTAATGTATTACTTATTAAATTTATAGTATATTTTTATAATAACTATAATTATTGTCACTAATAAAATAAATTTTTTAATTAAAATTACTTAAATTATATTTGAAGCCAACTATTTTATAATATAAATTGAAAATTTTAACCATATTAACTTTTAAGAGTTGAAAAATAAAATTACTTCATTATAAAATTTTGATCAATAATTTTATAGAGAAAAATGATGAGATATATTAAGTTAGACACCTGTATAAATTCTTTACTCTTATTAAAAAAACAAAAATAAAAAGGGCACCGGTATAGTTGGCAACACTTTCAAATTTCTAAACATGACGCAGATGAAAGCTACTTGTAAAAATGAATACCTCACCGTGTTGAATAATTTATGCAAGTAAGAAATATGAGGTTACTTGATAAAACATGAAAATGGAGTATCTAGGACCGATAGTATTGACTAATCTCCTTGCTGGCCCCAAGATTAAACGCGGTAGTATACATAAGGCAAAATTTGAACTCCTGGCCTTGTTTAAGCGTGGATCAACCCTTACTGCTGAATCATACACTTGAGGTTTTTATAGAAATAAGTTAGTTTATAATTATGTACTTTTTTTATTTATTATTTTTATGTTCATTAATTTATTTGAAATTTATATTGTAGCTCAAATAATTAAATATATTTTTATGTCATTTTATATTCATTAGCTAATTTATTAGTTTTACTAAATATTTTTAACTCAATCAATTACAATTTTTAATTTTTCGATTCTTAATTTATAAATTATAAGTTTGAACAAGCTTAAACGCTAATACTACCGAACACAACTTATGTATTGTTTTAAATTAACAAATAACTTAAAAACAATAGAGATGCAAAAGAAGAGTTATTTGAATCTTACTAGTATATTGTACTAGACAATCACAATTATTTATGAAGATAATAATTTCAGTGGTTTATTATTGTAGTCTAGAAAAGAACAAAAGTACCAACAACGATGGATCAAGTTGTTAAGAATCAAATACAAGAGTGTGGATTTGAATGTTGATTGGTGAATAATATGTAATTAATTTTACAAGTGTTTTGTGAATTTTGATGTTAGTCCTAATCCTGATGAGCGTAGAGACTCAACTCTCAATTATTTTATGCCAAAATAGGAGAGAAAAACAAAAGTGAATTCTAGGTAAAGGTTGTTGAAATTACGGTTGAAATGAAAATGAAAAATAAGATGACATATACACGGAGATTGTGGGTGTATTTGAGCACCAATTAATTTAACTACAATTAAAAAAAATTATACTTACAAATTTATATATATTTTTTTATTAAAATATGAATTTTTTGCTGAACATAATTTTAGATTAGGATTAAACATGTACCTAAACCCAACACCATTTGATAATCATGACACGCCACACACAAAAGTCCAAACTTTGGAAATCCCGATTAAAGCACTAATACAATACCCTTTAAATCAAACACTTACGAAAACCACAAGAAAACTTTGAAAATTATCATACACAAACCTTTATTTTTTTCTTTTACGGTGTTAAAGTCTCTGTCAACACAATTCACCTATGTGTACTCTCATATGAGTTTCCCCGGAATTCGTCTTGCTTCCTCTTGTTCATTCTGAATCACCGGATAGATAACTTTTGTCGCTTGGAACACCCAAATGGATGCAATCCAAAGGCAGAAAATCTATGTTGCTGTTGGTAATGATGTGCAGGATGGATTCAAGACTTTGAATTGGGCTCTCAAGAAATGGAATTCTCATCCAATTTCCATTGTTATTCTCCATGTGACACATAATAGTCCAAATGATTATGTCCAAACACCATGTAAGTTGGACTTGTGTGTCACCCTTAATTTGTTCTTTCTTTGCAATCAAGTTCAATTGGGTTTTGCTTAGTTTTGTGATTCTCTTGTAGTTGGGAAACTTCCAGCAAGATCTGTGAGTGAAGAGAAGCTACAAATTCTAAGGAAAGATGAGCAAGAGAAAATCAACAAGCTGCTTTCTAAGTATGTTGCTTTCTGTGGCAAGGTTTGTACATTTTTTTACTTCAATAACAGTGTTCAATTACTTGGGTCATGTGAAATGAAATGAAGTTCTAGTGGTTATTGGTTAATTTACTCCAACTCTAGCTATACTCTATTTTCTTCTCAGGTGTCAGCAGAGATTGTTGAAGTTGAGAAATTTGATGAACCTATGCAAAAGCACATCATAGACTTGATCTTTGGTCTAGGAATAACAAAATTGGTCATGGGATTTTCATTCATGAAGCCCTCCATGTATTCTTTCATTTCATTCCTTGCTCTTTTCTTCAACAATTATTTTTTCAATCTATGCTAAATAGTAAATTTTCTTAATATTATGCTTCTGGGTTAGGAAATCAAAAGGTGCCATTAGTGGATTGTTCTATGTTCATCAGCACAAGCCTGGCTTCTGTGAATTGTTCATTATTTGTGGAGGGAAGCAAGTTTTCCTTAGAGGAAAAAATGATGAGAAAATCATGGAGGATGATCATGGGGTGATGGTTGGCAGAATGAGAGATAAGGTAACTTTCAAAGATTGGCTAGACAAATGGTTCAATGACAAAACCAACGATAGTAGAAGTGCATCACTTTCCTCATCCAATTTGGAGTCCCCTGTGAACGAAAACCAATGGGAATTTTACCTTCAGGAAATTGAAAATTATTATCAAGAATTGTTGTCTTCTAAGACAGAGGAAGGAAGCTGCGTGCTAGATAATGACGACTCACAGACTGGTCCAATTGAACCACATGTCACCGAAAACAACAATTCTAAGGTGGTAACTATAACAATGACAGATATTTTTCTCAAATATATGTGGTCTTCATTAATGCTTATATTTATCTTCTTTGTTCCCTTTCGTTTTGTTTCTTCTAGGGAGTAGTTAGATGATTGGTTTCACTTTTTTTTTTTTTAATGTACACATAATATAATTTGTTTTGATTGTCACAATTGAAAAAGGAGCCTGTTTGTGAAAGTCTAAAGTAGCCATCATTCTTAAATAACTCAATTTGACTCTTGTAAGCATTTGATGTGTGAAGTAATATAAATTGATGATGGGGTCCATTTCACAAGATATGGAAGCAATTTTCAAATCATGATCTTGCCCTAAAGCCGTGATTAGCTTTCTATGTTTACTTTCGGACCCGAAAAATTCTTCAATAGTAAACTTTTGAAAATATACTTGCATATTTTATTTTATATGTCTCTGTTTCCTTTTGTTATTTCACGCGGCAGTGATTTGTGAAAATATTGACCAAGTGATTCTCCTACTCAGAGTGCTGCGGAAAAAATTGAAATTCTGAAAAATAAGGTGAATGAAGCTCATGAGATAATCCAATTAAAGAAGAAAGAGGCCAAGGAAAGCATAGAGAGGCAGACAAAAGCTGAATGGGCAATTTGTTTATGCAACTGTAGGGTAATATTCTAAATTAGTTCATTTGGAGACACGTCAAAACCTATCCTCTATCTGCTTTACAAAAATTAGTTAAATTAACACATCAAAGATACAACATTGGCCACATAAATGATAAAAATTACATTTATGCTCTCTAAATAAGTAAATATGTACTTTGTCATGAACTCAAATGCTTATTTATTCATCAAACTAGTTCTTCAAATTAGTAACATAATACTAACTAAATGAAAAATGTTAATTAGTGCCTGACAATCTGACATTGGTTAAAGAATAAGAAATAAATCTTTTTTATTGTAACAATGAAAATTTTCTACTTATTAACTATTTAATCAATATCTTAAGAACTCTGTTTAGCAAGATCATAACTAATTTAATTAAAAAAAATTAGGCATGTTAATTTACATGTTTTTTTTTCCTCAAATATTAATTATACATTGAAAGATCATAAACATGTCTTTTGTTGTTTAGGGTTTAATTTACCTAAAAAAGTTGTTGCATAATTTTCAGGCTGAAGAAGTGGAAAATCGAATACGGGAAGAGGTGAGTGCGAGGGAGGAGCTAAAGAAGGAAATGGAAGCGGAGAGAGAGCAAAGAGAGGAGATGAGAATAGAGGTGGAAGAGAGAAAGAGAAGGCTTAGTTCGCTGACGGAGGTGCAGTCGGAGCTGTCGGACAGGCTCCGCATATGGACGGCGGCGGAGACGCGGGCGGAGACGCAGCTGGAGAAGGCGGTGGGAGAGAGGAGAGAGATGGTGAGGGAAATAGACGAGTTGCGGAGGCAGAGGGATGTGTTGAACAGAAGGATCGAGTTCTGCAAGCACAAGGACGCCATCGGAATGGCCGCTAGACTCGCCGACACGTGCTGCATGTTCAGGGAGTACACGGAGGAGGAGCTCCGCTTGGCCACCGATAACTTCTCCGACCGCCTCAGGTTGAAGTCCGGTGGCGATTGGACCAATGTGTACAGAGGACGCTTCAACCACTCCACCGTTGCGATCAAGATGCTCCCTTCTGTTTCCCTCCAACAGTTACAATCCAAGGTATTATAAATTATCATTCATTTTTTTTTAATCTAAATTTCACAATTTCTTGAAATTTACTGTTTAATTTTGTTAGTGATTAGGATGAGAAATAAATCCGTATTTATAAGTAATATTTGAAATCGAATCTGTCTTGACTTTAATAGAGAATACTTGGTTTGATTGAATACAGATACGAGTAAAATTTGATATATTAAATTAGGTACGGCTACGAGTACAAGTATCCGTTCCATACCCGTACCCGTACCCATCTCCATCCTTGGTTTAATATCTATAAAGAATTTTAATATTTTATTATGTATGATAGAAAAATAATTTAAAAATATTATGTATTTTTTTATAAAAATAATTGACAGGCACGAGTATAGCTATAGGTATACTTCGATGGGAATGGAAATGAGGACGAAAATAATATATTTGATGAATACGGGTATGAATACGAATGAGTTCAAGTTGTGGAGAGGGGAATAAATATCATAAAACTCGTATCCGATCCATTCTTATTAATGATCAATTAAATTCGTAAAATCATGACAAAATTTGTGATTAAGTTAAATATCAGACAAAAGATATATTTTATTCTTCAAAATTATAAACTTTCTTCTTCCGCAGCTTGAGTTAACTAATTTACACTTCATTTTTCAGGTAAGGCTTCTTGGTGACATTAGGCAACCTCATCTGGTTGCCATGGTGGGCTTTTGCTCTGAGCCCAAATGCGTAGTTTTGGAATACATGCGCAACGGGAGCTTGCGCGATATGCTCTTTTCTAGGAGAAAAAACCGGGCCATACGATGGCACGACCGAATACGAATAGCCGCAGAAGTTTGTTCGGGCCTGGGCTTTCTCAATAGAGCCGAGCCGAGGCCTGTTATTCATTGTCACTTGACCCCATCCAACATCCTCCTAGACCGCAATTTGGTTGCAAAAATCACGGGCTTTGGGCTTCATGAATGCCATGATGAGCAGTGTAACGTCGAGTCAGATTTGCGGGCCATAGCGGTTTTATTAATGCATCTTCTGACGGGAAGAAATTGGACCGGGCTCGTTGAGGAAGTGATGACAGTGGATATGGATGGGGAGGCATTGGCTAGTGTTCTTGATGAGATGGCTGGACAATGGCCATTGGATCTGGCAAAGGAACTTGCGGGCCTAGCTATGAGGTGCATGTCAATCAAAAGCAAGCCCAACTTAGAACTAAGCATTGCAACGGTCTTAGAGGAACTCAATGAGATAAGAAAAAAGGGAGATGAAATAATTGGAAGGGAAGGGCGAAAGGCAATCATTGGTGGATGTATAGATAGAGAGTGTTCCAATGATGTGCCTAGTGTTTTCCTTTGCCCCATACTTCAGGTTGGTCTTTTTATTTTTTAATCTTTTTGTAGGCTTAATACAATATACACCAGTATTCTAATAGTATTTCTATTAGAAGAGTTTTATGGTCTACAATGATCTCGTGGAGGGTACATGTGATTTATAAATATTTCTCCTAGCTAGCTAAATATGACTTTTTCTTTATTTCTTTGTAGTGTCTATGACATGTTGCAAAATTGTACGAGTTTCCTAGTGATATCAAGAATGATCATTTTGTGTCAATGATATGTAAATTGTTGAGTCATGCAATGTTATAGTTGACATTTTTAATTTGGTAATATTTCTTGAACTTGTGTCGGCTGCAGGAGGTAATGAAAAATCCACACGTGGCAGCAGATGGATTTTCTTATGAGCTGGAAGCAATAGAACATTGGCTGCAATCAGGGCGTGACACATCACCAATGACAAATTTGAGGCTGAAGCACACATTCCTCACACCTAATCACACTCTTCGTTCCCTAATTGTGGACTGGCAGACCAACAAATCACCTAGCGTTGCACATTGATACCCAATTCTTTTTAGTTCATTAGATCGTATGTACAGAGGGTTGTGACTTGTTTTTTATGCCCATTATCACTGATGAACCATTACCTCCAATTAAAAAGTTACCAATTCAATTAGCTAGTTGCTACAACTTTCTAATTCTTTTTTTCCTTTGCCAGTGACTTGCTACACAACTCAAGTATTAACTCAATGTGAAACTGCAAAAATGGAATATTTATTAATGAGAAATATAAATACATAAGTACACTACTTTTTTTTTCAGGGGACAATTTGACGTGTGAAAACAACTATGCAATTTTTCAAGCATAATATCACCAATTTAAAGTCACTATGGCTATCTTACATATAATTTACCTTTGTCTTCATGAGTTGTAATATCTTCCAAGTCCCACGGAAGAGAATAAGGAATAATAGACATATCCCAGGAGTGACCTTTTCTAGAAGGAATCTTGCCATTAAAATGAGACTGAACCAAGGTCTTAGGCTCCCAAACATTTGAACCAACAGCAACACCGGGCTACTTTCTTTGGCAGCGAATATTCGGATTGCAGCAAGGGATCAGTGGCAATGTCTTCAGCTCGCGACCATGTATACACTCCTCGCTCTTGCTGATTGCCAGGAACAGTGTTGTCCAGTAGGAATGCCACCAACAGTGTAACCACCATGTTCAAGGACATAAGAGCATTGATTGCAAAATCAAGCTTGAACGTAGAAAATGACAGATTAGCTAAGAGGAAATAAGTTATACAGTTACATTTGAATGCAAGAAAATCAAGCAATCAGTATAAATCAGTTAGGATGTTATAAGCTTGTGAATTAAGTCAAACTTGATTGACATAAGCTATTCAGCCGGCAGCTTTCTTTTATTTGTTCCTTTTCTTTTTCATTTGTTACATTGAAGGCAAAAGGTACTTACTTGTTTAATGCCTGAACGGAACGGCCCATTTGATGCTGCCGCATAAGGAACCAAATAACTGGGCAGTATCAGACTTGATTCAGCCTGGTATTGTTGAAAATAAGCAGGAATAGACATGCCAAGGAACAGTGAAACGCCAACTATTGTTATATTCCTGAAGCTGGCAGATTGACTATACTGTAAATTAGAGAGGCCCAATGCTGCAGTAAGAGCCCACATGAAACATAGTACAGAAGCAGCCAAAGCCTGTGGAATGGAAGCAAGAAGAGCACCCACTTTTCCTACAAAATGCAAGCAAGCAAAAGAGATTGGACAAGGCAATAAAATAGCCTGTGTTAGGCAATATCTAAACTTTAATTTAGGTGTATGGTATCAAAAATTTAATTATATATGATGCATCAATTATCTTAATAGTTTTCTGACATGTAATTGACCTCACCTAGTGGAATAGGGCTTTGTTGTTGTTGTATATGATATAAAAATTAATTTTGACAAGTGTTAGATGAGCATGTAAACACGAGTCATCTTGAACATTATGTTTAGATAACTCGCATCACTGATCGAGCTTCCACAAATACATACAATCTAATTAACATTCATATTTGAGACTCAAATGCATCAAAATGAAACCACTGCAAATCCTTAGATCCATCTCAGCCAGAATGCAGCAAAATGGACAGGAATGAAAAAGTTGGACAAGAATTTTGAATTCAAGTATGGATTTTGTCTCCAAGTGTAGTTATTTACCTACAAATGAGAACAGGATCAAGAAAGCTGCTCCAACTACCACTACTTTCCGACTTGCCACCTTTGTGATGTCAATTGTGTGCATGTTTTCTGTCAAGGTCGTTGCCCCAGTACCTGAACCCCAAAGACCAGCCAATATACTACAGAAACCCTCGAGTGCAATTCCCCGGCTCACAACTCCAGGAGTTGGGGGCCTTGAATTAACTTGCAGAGATGTAGTACGATAAGTTCCAACCTGAAAAAAGGATATGCCATTCGCATAGTTACAATTACAGTTTCATCTCCTATTTTTATTTGATCCTTGCTTTCGACATGAAAATTCATCTTAATAATTAAATATGAAAGGACGTCCTTGTTCTTGTTAATAATCATGCCTTTCAAGTCTAAGAAAATTGATCATATTCAGAGGATATATTATTTGTCTTTATAAATTTTTCAAAGTTTGGTTTTAGTCTCTAAAAAATATTATCTTATTTTGGTCTTTTTAATTTGGAGATGCAAGACTTTTAGTTTTCAAAATTATTAATATAACACTTTATAATAAACAATAATATAAAATTAAATTGAATGAAAAATATCCTACACATTATAAAGATTTGTTAACAATGTTTTTTAATGAAATAAAATGTCATTTTTAATTAAAGGTTTAATACATTATTTGAACTCTCAATTTTTTAAGAATGTTTAATTAGGCCCCTAAACTAAAAAAAATTGTAATTGAGTTCTTCAATTTCTTATATTTTTGTAATTTAGTCCATAGGACCATTTTGTTCACAAATCGTGAAATGACATAATATTTCTTATATCATCCATATAGAGTCATCAACTTACTATTTTATGTATCATCATCCATATGTAACATGTTTTAATCTGTCTGTAAAAATTATTATAATCTTCTAATCATAAAAATTCTGAAATAGTAGGAAATCTTAACATGTAAAGATTAAAACCTAATACACATGAATGATGATATGAAATAATAATACCATATAATTGTGTGAGAATATAAAAAATACTGTAAAAAATTTTACAGATAATAAAGAAATCTCTTATCTCAGAACTGAATTATAAAAATGTAAAAAGATGAAAGATTTGATTACAATTTATTTTTTAGTTTAGGGACTTGATTAAAATTTTCCAAAAAAATTCAAGAACCAAATGATATATTAAACTTTAATTATATCACACACATACACACGCACAAACACATATATTTCATGTTATAAATATTTATATCTAGAGGCTCAAATTTATTATTTTGTCTAGGACCCATGAAATGTTAGGATTATAGATAATAAACGAATCTCTAACCTCAGGACTAAATTATAAAAATATAAAAAGATGAAAAAACTGACTACAATTTTTTTAGTTTAGGAACCTAATTAAAATTTTTCAAAAAAATTCAAGAATCAAATGATATATTAAACTTTAATTAAATCACATGCACACGCACGTGGGATCACACACATACATATATATATATATATATATATATATATATATATATATCCAACAACACCTGCAATTTCAAACAAACCAACAACATGCAAACCATGAAATTCAACAACCAAACTCTATGGAATCCAAAACCATCCTTAGATCCCCCATGAACTCATCCAATGCATCAAAATCACCCAAAAACCCCAAAAATGGCCTAAAACCCTGAAGGTGAGAAAAAACCCTCAAATTAACAGTTCAATCCCCAATCTCATGCATCAATTTAGTTTCTAAACTTACATGCAACCAACCAACAATATCATAGCTTCCCTCAGCGGAAAGTTGGCTTAGAACAACCAAGAAGAGGAAGAAGGAGAAGAAAATCACAACACCTTGCCCACCAACTTCAATTGCCCAAATTCAAGCTTCCTAACCTAAATTCCAAAAAAGATAGAAGAGATTAGTGATCTAGAAGAGAAGAGAAATCAAATAAAAAAATTTGGGAGAAAAAGGAACTCACAGACCTAGAGTTCTTCTCTCTAAAACTTCTTTCTAGATTTCTTTGAGAATGAGTTTATGAGACTTTGTTCTCAAAGAAAACCTTATATATTCTTCTCTCTGGTGTTACAATATTCATTGGTTTTATACTATTAAATTATTAGTTTTTGAAATGAATATATATATATATATATATTATGTTATAAAAATTTATATATTGAGGCCTACATTTATAAAATGTCAGGACCAGCATTAGTTCTGTGTGTGGGTGCACGTGCAAATGATAATTTAAACTTGCAAGCACTTAAATATGATACTTACTGAATCCACAGAAGCAACCAGTGACACTATGACCATGATTATGGAAGTCCTAAAATGGAAAATAGGGATACCCCATTGTAAAGGGTAAGGGATTCTGACCCATGCAGCAGTAGACAATGCATTGGACACATCAGTCCTGCAATGCTTCATGGTGTATGCATGTTTTCTACATGCATCCAACAGAATGTTTGAACTTGGTATATCTGGATTGCATCCTTTGTAATTATATGCTCCCCCAGCAGTTAAAAAGGATGCATATATCCAAATAATTATCAAACTCAAGGGAACCTGAAAATATGAAAAAGTATATTATAAGAATTTATTATACACAACCATGCTAAAGGTCCTCAATTATTCAAAATAGAAAAATATAACGAAAGCATGACATAGCTCATCAATATGAAAAATGAACAAGTAACATCTTAATTTAAGAAACTTACAGCATAAATTCGAAACAAGTGGCGCCCAAAGATAGATATTCGTCGAAGATACTTCAAACAAGACAAAAAGAAGTAATAATGAGATTTTGAACACTGCTGAAATCATTAAATAAAAAACAAAAAGCCTGTGACCTGTTTTCAACAGAAAGCCTCTAACATGAAGTATCTTTACAACTTACAACAATTAGACAACATTTTCTGATACCAAATAATAATATTCTGTACCGGTACTGCTTGAAATGCATACACAACTCACCAGAGTGAATATTAGAACCAGTGCTATCTGTGGAATGGTAATTTCTGGGCAAGTGCCTGCTTGTGGAAACCCGTAGCTGAAGAATGCTAAACCTACAGCAGCAACAGTTGGGGCAACCACAATTGGGTTGATTAACCTAAAATTGTAAAGAATTTACCACATATCATAAATATTTAGCAAGCAGAAAAGCAACAAACTAACAAAAATTTACTAGATTAAACACAAGATGAAAGATATTTATGAACATAAGATATGGCATGTAACTGCTAACCTGAGTAGAACAGACATTAAACCACTAAATCCCAGTATACATTGGAATATTGAACCAACAATTATGGCTCCTTGGAGTTCCCTCATTATGTGCCTAAATTTCTGCAATTAAAATATGCAGGCTTTAATAAGTAAACTGAGAATATATCCAAAAGAACAGAATCAAAGCCAAAGTTTAGTGTGATTAGTGAATACTGACAATGCAGAAGTCTGACAAGAGTTAACAGATACATGATAGCAGAAAGGATAAAGGATAAATTATGCTGGTGATTCAAATATATATAGGTTTAAAAGGTAATAGAGTCATGTGAAAAATAACTCCTAATTATAGTTTATGATGTAATTGCACTTCAAAATGCATATAGTTTACAGATTTAGATTGGTTGATAAGTTTTGTGTGCCTAAACTGAAAGTGAAAGAGCCTAAGTGATGTGGTTAATGAATTAACGTTGTGTCTGTCAATTAAGAAATGAACTTACATGTTCAGTAAGATTCCGATATTCTTGAGCATTTATGATAACTAATGCTGGTGCTAAATACACAAATGAGCTCCCTTGAACTAAAGGCAATCGGGTACCGAAGTAGGAGTGCAGTATAGTTGTGATGCCAGAAAGAAACAGTATTGTAGAAATCACGGTAGAAGTATCCTTCTGTCATCAGCAATAAATGTAAAAATGAATAGATAAGAAAATGAAAAATTACCTACTTTCTTAGAGTAACAGGCAGTAAACAGTAAATAACAGCATTTGCTTACATCTGTTCCACCCATGACAGGTACCATGACTAATGGAATCAATACAAGAGAACCAGCCAACGATATATAGTGCTGCAGGCCATAGTAGATAAGTGGTACTGCAGTTAAAAATGTAAAGATGTAAGCAAAAACAAGGTAATAAATTTTTTGGCAAATTATAGCAACATGAGTATGCTAGTTAACCTTGCTAGTAATGAGATAATAATTAGTTAAGACAATGATTTGGAAATAAAAACTGGGAAAACAAGTTCTTTCACAAAGCCTTCTTTAATTTTGTGATTAGTTATCTTACCCGCGTTGAAGGAGATTGAGGATTGGCATTCTTAAATAAGATTCATCTAGATCTTTTTTCACTTCTTCCTGCCTTATTTGGAAAAGATTTAAGGGAGTTCATCTTGCAACTAGAATGGAACATGTTGGTTGCAGCCCGGCATCCAACCTTGACAAGGCCCAGGTAAGGGTTGGAGTCATTTTGAATTGGGGGTTTGATTCCTTAAAAAGGTGTGGATGGTGGCAACTTGGCAAGTGCTGAAAGGAGGATTGTTGGTTGTGCCAGTATTCTGCCTTGACAAGGCTCAGGTAGGGCTGGAGTCAGATTAAACCATGACAGTTATTGATGGGCTTAAGTAGAAAGAGTTGTGACCCATCTAACTGCTATAACTTTTGGCCTAGTTGTAAGCACTCAATCCAGCAGAACTGAAGACTGATATTCTGATAGGGTTAGTTAGCAGTTATCTTAGAAAAAAAAAGGGGTATCTTTTTTTCTTCTAACATAACTGCTAATTGATCCTATCATATTCTTATATCATATCTATCAGGGGAAGGCATGGAATTCAGCTTTCATAATTCATACTGGGTAACAGTTCCATTAATTCCTGTAAATTGTAGTAATCTCTTCTCTCTCCTACTTTTTCATATTTTCTCCTCTATGGAAACGATCCACAATCAGTCATGGAAAATAACAGTAGTAACAATAGATTAAAGCAGTTGATGGCATTCACACCAAAAATCCAAATTACATTCACAACATGAAGATATAGTTCAGAACACAAGTTGTATGAAAATGCTTGAATTGTTTAGCACACTCAAAGGATCTGTGTATATATATAAAATAACAGAGGCTGGAAAAGGCTACACCTTGGGACACCTTTTGTGTCGAATAGATACAATAAAAAACAGCTTTTACAAAAGCTATGAAAAAAAATACAAAAGATAATGTGAGATATTCTAACACTCTCCCTCAAGCTGGAACATATAAATTATATGCACCAAGCTTAGAACATATCAACAGAATTCTAGGGCCTCTCAAAAACTTGGTCAAAATAATTGCAAATTGATTATTGAAGCTGATAAATTCAATACTAATTTCCTTGGACAACAACTTCTCTTGAACAAAACAGCAATCAATTTATGTGTTTAGTTCTCTCATGGAATATTGGATTAGAGGAAATGTAAAGAGCTGCCTAATTATCACAGTACAACTTCATCTACAGGACTTGCATAAAACTTTAATTCTTGGAGGAGTTGTTTGATCCACGAGTCACAAGTGATTGAGTCCATTACCCTATATTCTGCTTTGGCACTAGATTGAGCAACTACACTTGGTTTCTTGCCCTTCCAAGAGATGATATTTCCACAAGTGGATACACACTTTCTAGTAAAATGTTTATCTACAAGAGGTCCTGCCTAGTCAGCATCACATACCTAGATAAGTCTGGTTGGACAAAATTGAAATCTTGCATAGAAGAAGAGAAGAAAGAGTCTCTTTGAAGGTTACATTAGCACACACATAGTATCGTCAAATGTCTTGAGAATAATAGCGGTACCCTTTCTAGAGACAAGAATAACCAAGAAAAAAACATTTAACGGCCCTTGCAAAAACCTTGTGAAAACCTAGAGACACATCATGAACAAAACAAACACAGCAAAAAATGTGGAGAGAAAAATGAAATAAAAAATCATTGGGAAAGAGAATTGAATGAGTAATTTTATTATCAAGTGATGAAGATGACATTCTATTTATTAGAAAACAAGCAATAAAAATATCATCACCCAAATGATGTATAGGAACATTGGCACCAAGCTATAAGGTACATGCAATTTCAACTAAATGCCTCTTTTTTCATTCTTCTATCCCGTTTTGTTGTGGTGTGAGGAAAAATTGATTGACGTAAAATGTCGTGTGCGGTTGGTAAAGAAGAAAGATCATAGGGAAAATATTCTTTGGCATTAGTACTTTCGAGAATTTTGATTATTTTACCAAAGTGATTATTAATATGACCGAAGAAAGACATAAAGATACACAAAAGTTTAGATCAACCTTTCATTAAATAAACCCATGTACATTGAGAACATTCATCAATGAATGTGAGAAAATATCTAAACCCAAAAGATGTGACATGACTTGGATCCCAAATATCTTAATGAGGGGTGGAAAAGGCAAGGTAATATCTTGTTTCAATTTTCTTTAGAAAATAAGATCTACCATGTTTCCCAAATTGACATGACTCACACTGTAAAACTTGAAGTTTGCAAGATCAAGAACCATTCTCTTCAATTTTGACATGTGAGGGTGACCCAAGCAATCATGCACAACTTTAGGAGATGGAGATGCAAAACAAGATACAAAGGAGTTGGTTTCAAGATAGTAGAGTCCTCTATATTCATGTCCTACGCCAATTAGTTGACTCGTATCACGCTTCTGTGTAACAAAAGAATTGGCATTACATGTTACGGAACAATTTAAGGACATAGTTAATTGACTAAGAGAAATTAAATTGAAAGGACAATTAAGAACAAAGAGGATAGCCTCCAAGTTTAAAATGATGCAAGAGATTTGTCCAACTCCTTAGGAAGAAACTTTGGAACCATTTGCTAGACTACTAGAGTAATTAAGTGAGGAAATTTTGGTGGAAACATAGAAGTGAATAGAGAATCATAACAAGATTGAAAAGCACCTAAATCAAGTATTCATGGCCTTGGATTATCCAAGGATTCAGAAATGCAAGTTGTTGAAATACCAAGGGCAAACGAGGATTGGACTTGACTATTGGACTTTAGTCTAAGATACTTTTGATATTCCTCCTTAGAAAATATGTGCTTAGATTTCTTTGTTTTTGAGACATTTGCTATCTTTTCAGGAAAGCCATGCAAGGAGTAACATGTCTCCTGAGTGTGACCCATCCTCTTACAATAGGAACATTGAGGACGACCACATCTTCCTCCTCGATTTCCATGACCTCCTCTTCCTTGATTGAACACCATTGATGAAGATTCAGCATGCTCAAGAGAATGTCCATCTTTTTTAAGTGTTGGAACACGAAGAAGTCGTGTTAGAAGACTTTCCATTGAAGGGACCTCCTTTTCAATCAGAATTTGATCACGAATATGATTAAAATCTGAATGCATACCCTGAAGGATTAGCACCATATACAACTTATCAAGTCTCTTCTTTATTTCTTCAAGGGAATCAGCTTCCAAGCACATTTTCAGCTCCTCTACTGCTGCTTGGGCTTGAGCAACATACGATATCATATCATGATTAACTTGCTTGAGAGAGGCCAGCTTTTGGGCTGAATCGTAAAGACATTGGATGTCATTAGCGAAAATATTTTTAGCTTTGCTCCAAAATGAACAGCATGTTTTATAGGTTCGAAGAGTCCCCAATATATTTGGCTCTACTGACTGCCACAAAAGGGCACACAATTGAAAATCAAGTTTCATCCATTGAGCACGAACTTCTGTTGGTACTTCATCACTTTCTTTTTCAAGGTGGTCATGGTATCCTTGACCAAGGAACCAAAGTTCTACGGAAGCCGACCACAACAAATAGTTTTTGCCATTCAGTTTCTCATTAGTAATTGTGGGATTCCCAGGAATGGAGAAAATGGGACCTGCAGAAGCCATTTTGAGAGCAACAATGTGACCCTTTTTTAAGAAAAGAATCCAACTTCAGGATCCACACTCCAAGTTAGGAAAAGCTAAGAAAGAAGGCCAGAAATGGGACCAGAGAGTGACAACAAATCTAATGATGTGTTCGTGGCAGACTGGCAGTGGACAGCCTGACTTGACTGATGAGACAGAGCGGGATCATTTCCCGCTCTGATACCAAGTTCAGAACACAAGTAGTATGAAAATGCTTGAGTTGCTTAGCACACTCAGCATATATGTGTACATAAAAACAGAGGCTTGAAAAGGCTACACCTTCGGAGTTAGGACACATTTTGGGTCATATAGACAAACAAAAAAAAACAGTTTTTACAAGTATACAGAAGATAATCTGAGATATTATAAGTTATAACAGATATAAATGAACATATTGACAAGCTTCAGAACATCCAAATATAGGAAGTTAGCAACATACCAACCCCGTTGCTGAACATACAGCATTATCCAATTCAAAAACTATAAAATTAAAAAACACACTCCCTAGAGACAAATTTCCCACACATATTCAAGCCCAACCAGAAAATTTCCAAACCATCCAAAACTGGCATCCTAAAACATAAACCGATAAAAAACAAACAAATCAAGGGTGAAAAAGAATCTACATTCTACAACCAACAGAAGATAAACTTACCTAACCCTGGATTTTCTTTGAGCCCACACTTCAATCCAAACGGTCCTTGCCACCCTCCATTAGCAGGCTCCTCCTCTTCTGGAAACACATTGACCTTAACATCATCCCCTTGTCCTTCCTCCCCCTCCTTTTCCTCATTCACAGGAGCAACTGTAGAGACGCCATGCCCATTCCCATTCCCATTCCCATTGAAACCAACTTTCCTCTCCCCATCCTGCTCCTTCTCCTTCCTCCCCCTACCATCATTCTCAACCCTCGTGGCACCTCCATGAGACTCTGGTTCGATCTCGTTTTGTCTGGTCCTCCCCACCACCGGATCTATCTCTATCTTCGGAGACGACCCTCCTCCTTTCCTCTGAAAAGCTTCAAACTTTTCACTCCCACTTGTCCCCGCTTCCCCAGAGTAATCAGACACAAAGCCCGTTCTTTTCGCCCATGAACGTAACTCTCTCGGGCTGTGCTCACTCCGCGACACAAAAGGTTCCACCTTGCCTGCAACACCACCACCTTGTCTCCTCCCAGTGCCGCCCCTCACACTCATTGCCACATTTCTGTTCGACCCAGCTTCCATTGACACTTGAACTGTACCCAAATCGGTACAAAGATGAAAAATGAGATCGCAAAGTGGAACGCTGGAACTCAAAATGGTGTGAAAATGTGGTTCGGTTTGGAACAGTTAACAGTGACTAGCGAACGAAGGAGGGAGTGGAATTACCAAAATGTCCCCGTGGAGTGACCGTTGAATTGATATAGGGAGTGTTGAGTGTTGAGTGTAGGAGCTGAGTGAGTGAAGTGAAGCGGGCATTGAATCAGACAAATTGCTTTTTTATTGAATGTGTATGTGCGTCATTTTTTATTCGGTGGGAATGATGAGATTTGTCTCTTTTCTTCTGTTTCAAGTAATCTTCTTATGTTGCGACCAATTGTTAGCTCAAGGAGTGGAGTGGTTCAGTTCAATTGATTTACACATGAACGCAATGACGATGGCATGATGGAAAAGACCAGAGAGCTAAATCGGTCCAATCACAAGTGGAGTGTGTAATTTTGGTTAATCAAAATATTTTACTTCTAAGTTTAGTCTTCATATTTTATAAAATTAAACAATATTGATAATTATTAAGAAGTCATTCAAAATTAAATAAAAAATATTGACGTGAGAAATAATAATTAACCGCATAGAAAACTAAAAAATATATAAATTATAAAGTTTAATAACATAGAAAGGAAATAAAAAGTATGCATAGGAACTAACTAATGTGATGGAGTAATGTCACATTTTTACATATATAATAAAGCTAAAGTTAAATGATATTTTTTAGTTAATAAATGATATTATTTAGTTAAAAAGTGGCAGCGTGTAATTTTGGAATTTCCATCCGCGCGACGTAAAACCTGGAAGGTTCAGTTGAAAGTTGAAAGGGGTTTAAGAGAGGTTGTTGCCGAACACTGTGGAAGATTGCAGAGTGAGCACAAGCAATGGCGTTTCCTTCTTCTTCTTCCTCGTTCTCCCCGCGCGCATCAGACGACACCGTTTTCTACGCCATATACACGGAGTCCCCCACCAGGACCAGCATCGCGACGCTCCACAGCCTCCACCTCCAAATCCTGGAAAGCATAACCCCCTTAACCGAAGGGTATATATGGCAGCACCAACCCTTCACTCTCTCAGTCTCCACTCCCCCCAACGCCTCCTGCCCCTGCCCCTCCTCCTCCCACCTCCCCCACCTCCACGGCCACCTCCGCTTCGCCGACAACCTCGAAGACGAGTGGTTCACCGTCTTCCTCCTCTTCCGCCTCTCCCTCCGCTTCCCCTCCCTCTCCCTCCGCCTCTGGGACTCCGACGGCGACTTCCTCCTCATCGAGGCCGCCTTCCACCTCCCCCGCTGGCTCAACCCCGACACCTCCCTCCACCGCCTCTTCCTCCGCAACGGAACCCTCCGCATCGTCCCCCAAACCCTCCCCAACCCCTCCCTCCCCGATTCCCTCGCCTTCGTCGCCGGTTCCCAATCCCTCGCCTCCGACTCAATCCAGCGCGCCATCCAGAACCGCATCAAGGACTACCCCGACCGCGCGCGGAAGAACATGCACAAAGTTAGGGTTAGGCTTCCGGTTTCCGTCGCGCACGTTCTCAAGCACGAGCCGCGGCTAATCTCCCTCGCGGTGGAGGGATTCTACGACAGGGACATTGACACCATGAAGTTCGCTAGCACGATGGAGAGGTTCCTGGAGAGGGGGAAAGCGGAGGAGTTGGTGCGCGTTTCGGTGATGATGTCGAGGGCGATGTACGCGCAGCTTGTGCAGCAGCGGTTTCAGGCTCCGAAGTGTTACCCTGAGATGCCGGGTCGGGCTGAGAGGGAGGGGTTTGTGGAGGCGGAGCTGGGGATGAAGGTAGCGTGTGGGATGGAGATGATGTACCAGCAGCGGAAGCGTGATGGGGTGGAAGGGAGAGGGAGCACTTGGGAGGTGTTTAGGAAGAGCTTGGAGGATAGTGGCTACTTCCAAGGGCTGCTTCCGGGTTCCTCTGAGTATCAGAGGTTGATGCAGAGTGCTCAAGAGTATTTTAGGAGCACTTCTCTGCACTCCAGGGAAAGGTTTGTGAACTGCTTGCTCCTTGTCTTTGGAATTGGAAGAAGGCTATTGGTCTTTTGTTTTTAATTAAGTCTTTAATCTGGTTGTGTTTAGATTTCTAGATTATCTAGTGGTGGGGGATTGGGATAGTACAGTGTCATATAGAGTTGAACCATGTTGCCATCATAGTAATTCCAATGGATAAAAAAAATATCCCTAGATTATCTTGGTTTTTTTTTCTTCCTTTTTTTGTTTTTACAGTTGAGATCCTACTACATTGATTATAGATATGACTAGTAGAATTTATGAAGGTTTGGGCAATTTAAACTTCATGAGTTAGCTATTGAGGTTTAATTGATTTCGACATTGATTATAGGTATGACTAGAACTTATATAGGCCTGGAAAATCTTCACCACGTGAGCTAGTTTTTGATGTTGAAATAGGCCTAGCTCAAATTCAAGAAGATATTGCAGCCTATCATTGATTATGTGACAGTTTTTGCTAGTTTATGTGACGTTAGATGGGGCATTCAGGAATTGGCTTACTTAGGTTGTGAGGCAGTGATGTTGTTTGAGTTTAGCACTCCGGGTTTTATATTGATTTTTGTTATTTTATCATTGCTAAGGTGAAAATTTGTTGCAGTGACTTGATGAATGCTCCTGTTAAACGCATAGATGAAATTCTTGCCTTGCCCCATTCAGTGGATGATTTTAAAGATCATGAGATTCCTCCATCTGATGATGATTCCTGGCTTTACGATGGAGAGGAAGAGCTGAACTCTGTTCTTATGGAAAGACAAAAGGAGATGGAACTATATGACTTAAAACACAAAAAGAAAGCAAAAGCAAAAGAAGATCAAAATACTGGTCCCTCAGCTGCATCAAATGCTGCTGATGAGTTTGATCCTAGTGATATAGCAAAGACCATGCAGGCATTTGTTCATAAGTTGTCAAGTTACAAGGGTGCTGAAGCTCCTGAAGACAGGTTTGTTTAGGGATATACACACTCATTTAACATACCTAATATGCATGCTGAAGACACTAATTATGTAGGTGTCTTTTTAGGGGAAAAATTGGATTTGGGGTTTATGAAATGATTTATTTTTCATGATGTTTGGCCATTGACATGGATTCAGTTCCATAGGTCCATACAGGTCTATGTCCAACACTCTTGCATGTTAATTAAAAGTGATATTCCCAGAACTCAACTGTGGTCCTGATTGGATAAGCTTATTAAATAGCTTTTGAAATCCAGATAAACTGTTTTGGGCTTATTATCATAATCTAAAAATCATGTTATAAAACTAGCTTTTGTGAAGCTGAAAACTGCTCAGATTTAACTACTTTTGATAATAATTTATTTCTAACTAAAATAACATGTTATATTTAGTACATGGTATAAATAGCTATTATTCCTGCTACTGATTCATTTTTCTGATGCTTGATAAATACAGTAGGAACGCACATTTAGGTGATACTCAATTGGATACCTTTCTGATTTTGCTATGTTACTTTATTATGTTAATATCTCTTTATTTTGGGCACTTGTCTTGTAAAGGAATAAGGAAGTGGACCTTGATGTGGACCAATTTATTAAAGACATGGAATCAGTAATGAAGCATTCAGGTGGTGAAGTTGCCAACAATAATACTGAAGAAGGATCATCGTCCGACCTGGACTTTGGTGAGATCTTATGTCTGTCTATGTTTACTTTGTAGGCATTAATTGTTTTGTTTGAATTAGGGTTTTCTAGATTTAAATAGATCTTCTCTTTAATTGTAATATGTTAAACTTGTTTTTGTATGCACTTATTTCCTGCTAATGGATTATTTCGTAAAAGAGTTATTTTTCACCATCACATTGATACATGTTTTTAGGTGTCATGCATGTAAGCACATTTCGATTCATGTCTTGTAGTTTTGAACTTACTTTTGGCTATCTGTTTTGCACATTCTCCAACTTCTTCCCCTCTCTATTTTGATGGAGGATGTGCAGCATCTGAAGTCATAAGTCTTTCTTTGTTATGACTGTAGCACGTATAGTTCTAGTAGAACGAAGGTTGAAGCTCTTCTAAGGAGAGAAAAATAAGACTGATGCTACTGCTACCCAATGGAAAATCGATCAATTCCCTTAGATGTTTGGGATACTAGTACCTGTGTTTAAGTATGTATAATGGATTAATTCCTGGAATTCAACCAATAGAAGATCACTTGGTCAGTCAATTTGTATGTCTTCCCTCTTAGTATCATTTGCAGGTTCTTATATGTTTATTAATGATCATGTAGATGATTCTGATGAGAGTGATATTGCTGAATTGGATGAGGATAATGAGGACAGAGAGGATAATTTCATGCGGTTCTATTCTGATGCCATGAATGAAGAACTAAAGGCAACCACCCTTCAGAAAAGTTTTGTTCGTGCTGATGAACAAATTCCAAAGAAGGACCAGGTATTTGTTTACATTTGCATGAGGAAAGAACGTGTTAAATTTTAATCTGTGATGATGTATAGTGTAGTGTTACCAAACCGCACAAGGTCATTTGAAAGGAAAGAAATAAAGTAAAAGCAGTGTCATTCAAAGATGTAATCTTGTTCTATTTTGGTATTTTGTTATGTCAGTAAAGTATGGATTCTCCTTATCCTCCTGCTGCTGCTTTATATATGATAATCTATATAGTATAATATAAAACTGTGTTTTATCATTGTGGCTAGGGTCCTTCCGCCCATATTCATATCAGTGTGTCTGCGTGTGATTGATATTAAATAATAATAAAATTATCCTGTTGAAAATAAAATTGCAAGTGTACAATATTATGAAAAGTTAATATGACTAATAAAATAATATTAAAAATAAATAATGAAAAATAATAACTTAATAAAAAATTAAATTAATGTTTAGACTTACTTTATTCAATAACTCATGTTTTATATTAAATTTCAATGATATAATCGTTAAATTTAAAATTCTTAATTCATATATCAAGTCTACAAATTTTTAATGAATTTGAAAATCACTTGATACTTCTTTTCATTATACTATATATATTTTAATATTAATTTTTATATCTCATTACAATATTATAATTAATATTATTATGTACACAGTAATAATAAAAGTGTTTAATAAAGTAATATTGCAAACAAATATTTGTTATTATTACATATCATATTTTAAAATAAATATCTCAATATTATTAAATAAAATATTATTTTATTGTTTTATAACCAGCTATTATGTTATGATATTGTTGCCATATTTGTTATTTCTGACATTGATTTGATCTTATAATTTTTTTAATAAATAATTTCCCTAAATATTAAGAGTAAAAATAATATTTTTTTCTTTAAAAGTTTTATTTCATATATTATAAATCTTTGAACCATAAATTTAATATCAAAAGTTTAAGAAACTAAATAAATAATTTAACTTTCTGCAAAATAAATTTAATGTTTTTAAACTATGTAATAATTTAAATAATATCAATCTTGAAATAACAAATTAATAAGCTTTAAATAATAATATCATAAGAATAGCATAATTCATGCCTGTTCCCAGCACTGCTACAAAATCTAGTCAATAAATTTTACGGCGGGGAAAAGCACGGACACTTGCATCATAGTTCAGTTTCTATTTTATTCAGCAATTTTTCATAAGTTCTGGAGTGCAGTTGACAGAATGATGATTTGTTCTGTTCTTGCTTTTGATTTCACTTTCAGGGAACGTCAAATGCATCAGAACATATTATGGACGAGGATTTTTCTCCTGTAGATGTGGATGTAAATTTAGTAAAAAGCTTTCTTGATTCTTTTTCTTCCCAACAAGGGCTTCCTGGTCCCGCTTCCAATTTGCTCGGCCTCATGGGGGTGCAGTTACCACAAGATGCCAAGAAGGGCAAATGAAGATACTGAAACATATATCCAGGTTTAAGTTTTGGGATTCTCCAACGGTTTAGTCTCTGGATGGCATGTCTCCCAACCTGTTTGCCTATAACCTTTTCCACCACGTTGGGTAGACATATGCTTAGAAGATGGCAGATGGGAATGCTTGCTAGTCATGATGTAATTGCACCAGGTTTTGGCACTCCAATTGAATAGAAGTGTCTTATTTCCTTGCCTCCAGAGAAAAGCAAGAGAACGATCATCTGTAGCATGCTTATTAATTATTGGCTGAAATACAAGTGGCAAGACAATTCTAGGAAATAGGGAATTGGATAACTATCTTATATAGCAAATCTATTTATACTATAACTGATTACCATTAAATAATTCCCAACAAGGGTTTATTTTTAGTTTGTGTCATCCCCAATTAAGAGTTGATGATTGTCCCTTTGGGTCACGTGAGACAGTTTTTTTTTTTTTTAGTTCACGTGAATACAGTTTAATAATGTTTCAATTACTGTTCTAAATCTGAATTACTACTTAGCTAGGCATAAAATCACCCTTCCCCATCCAAAAGCTCATAATACAAAGAGAAATGTAAAGCAAAATACTACATTATCACACTTCACCAACTTATGATTTATAAACAAGCAAAAAATGAAGAATGAATCTTCCCTTCATGTAAAAAAGGGTACTCAATACACTGCCTAATATAACTGATAAGAGAATTCTCACAGATGAAAAATTAAAGAAACACAATAGCAAACTAGGAAAGCATTTTACGTATGGCTGTGCTCCTTGGCAGCCCGGTATTTCCTATGCATTCCAGGGGTCATACAGGAGAAGATCGATTGTTTCTTTGGTTTGGCACCAAAGATAAATGACCTCAGAGGAACCTTGGCCCGATTTTCTGATTGTCTTAGTTGGCCATTTTGTTGTCTCTTTGAAGCTGAGAACCCAAATTCATCATTCAACTTCACCAGGGCCTTTTCTACGTCAAGTTGGAGGGACGATACAATATCTAAACCCGCTTGAAGTTCATCAGCAACCTTGTTGTTTTCCTGTTTCATGTTCAAAGTCTCACCTTGGAACTTGGCAGCCTGGTAGCTTGTGAACCTGAAGTCATCATCTTCAGCACTGGCTTTCAGTGCTGCTGTTATCTCTTCTTGGATATCACACAAAGATGAGAATCGACGTTGCAGTTCTTCTTTCAGCAAAGCACCTTTTTCCATCCAGATTGTTATTTGAGTTTGGATCTCTGTTAGGTGTCTGTAAATCGGTTTTGCATCTGATTTAATAGCATACTTTATGTTACTATTACTATCTGACGACTTCCCTCTTTCCTCTAGATTTGATAACTCGGTTTGCAAATCTTTGACGGTGGTTTCAAACTTCTGTATCTCAGAGAAATAAGCACTGAATTTTAACCAGAAAGTTAAGTTCTCCTCTAGAATTTCATCCATGTTTGACCGGAATTTCTCTTCAATGGGTGAAGAAGTAGATTCACGTGGTTCAATTTTTAGTAGTTTCTCAATGTCATGTCTTCCTGGTGGCAGTACTGGAGGTGACTCCGGCAAGTCCTCATTTCCTTCCAAGCTTCTCTGCAGGAGACCGAGTTTCTGACGCAGAAGTCTTATCTCTTCATCTTTCATGGCATTAGCTGTCTTCAGTTCTTTTAGCTGCAAAGATGAATCAAAGTTGCCGTCTTGATTTTTCTTCTCTATTTCAGCCAGCCTCTTCTTCACATCTTTATAACTCCGGAGAGTATTAGTATACTCGGTCAGCAGAACTTGTTCTCTATCCTGCATTCCATTTGTGAACAATTGCCGCCAATCAGGTTCATCTTCTTGTGCTGTTCCCTGCTTCTTGTGATTATCTTTGAGATTCTCTATCTCGCATGAACTTTGCTTAGCATCATTTTCTTGTGGTTTCTCAAAACTCTCCGAAGAACTATCTGCCTTGTTGCTTGGCCGGTGCTTACTGAATTCCTCATTTTCTGTAGTACTGCTCACAGCAACTATTGCCTTTTCATCACCATTGCTAGGATTTACTGTCTTCTCTTCTTCTTCTTCTAACTCTTCTGTAGATTGTTTTTCCACAAGTGTTGCCTCTTCCATTTCTGAGGAACTGGTGACCTTAACCTCATTTACTGACTTAACATCATTTTCCAATGAACCGGTGACATTGGGTTCATTACCAAATGGTGAGTCAGGGACCACAGGCTTCTTGTTTGATATTACATCATGTACTGACTTACCATCATTTTCCAATGAAGCGCTGATGTTGGGTTCATAAGAAAATGTTGAGTCAGTGACCTCAAGCTTCTTGTCTGATGTACCAGCAACCAAACCAGCTGTAAGCACCTTTTCAGAATTAATATCATTCAACAAGTCGTCTTGATTCAAAGGAACTTGTCCTTCAGACTTACATTTTGATTCAGCTTGATTTGATGAATCTTTTTGCGGGTTTGATAAATCTGTGGTCATAGCCTCCTCACCCAGCTGCACATTTTGGATTTCCTCTGAGAGATGATCAAGTTTACTATGTGCTTCAGTGAATTGGTTTTGGAGATTGCTATTCTGTTCCTCAACAATTTGGTTTAGATCCTGTACTCGATGCTGCTTTTCTTCCATCTCTCTCAGTTTGTTGTTCAATTTATTTTTATCCTTGATAAGACTTTCCTTATCGTTTTCTAGAGCCCGAATCTGCTCGTGAAGTTCATCAGTTTCTGTTCTCAATCTCTTTACCATAGCAGTCTGGGACGATACTGAAGTTTCCAAGCTAATCACTTTGTTCACTAGCTCATCAATCTTCTCTGCCATTTCTGCTACACTGAGTGAAGAATTGGAGCTAGTCTCAAAGTGCTCTTTAATGTTCTCCTTTAATAATTGCAACTCCTGTTTCTGCTGAGTCAATCCATCCGCATTTTCTTCCAAGTCCTTTGTTTCTGCTATTTCTTTTAAATCTCCTTGGACCTTTGGCTCTTTGGAATTGCTCTTATCATAATGGAACTCGTCCATGAGAGAACCCAACTTGGCCTTCACATCCTTTACCCTTTTGGCTTCAATTCTGGTTTCATCGAGTGATCTTTCCTGTTTCTCTTGCAATTGTGTCAATGCGTCTTGGCATGATTTAAGTGCAGTTTCTGCCATCAAATGGCGAGCTTCATCATCTTCAATAACCACACCTTCTCCAATTTCATCTTGCAGAGTGGAAACTCTCTCTTGCAATTCCTTGATTTGCTCCTCAGTTTCCCAGTACCTAGAAAAGGCATTATCATAAGAGTTCTTTACAAACTCTTTCACAGTTTGTAGAGCCAGAATCTCTTTCTGCAGCTTGTCAACCTCTTCACGTGCCTCTTTTCTGCTCAAACCAGATTTAGGAACTTTTGGAGCAGCAGAAGCTGCTGTGGCAGCTGGCTTCTTGGATTGAAATTTCTTTGTGGCTGCTGCTGTTGTTATGATAGTTTTTAAATCTTTAAGGGGAGGTTTTGGAATATTTTTCTTGGACCCTTCTGGTTTTTTTCTTCCAGGCCTTGGTGAACCATCATCATCATCTTCATCCATAAGTGGGACGCGATCTGGAAAGACAGAAGCAATAGTGTTGTTGGCATTTTGTAACTCTGTGGATATGTGATCATATCGTTCTGCTAAAGCTCGGTAAGCCTTGAATGATTCCTCCACAAAGCTTATCAGTTCCGGTCTCCTTTTGTAATACATTTCTGCTCTCTTAGCAAAAGAGTCTCCCTCTTCCTCTAAGAGCTTCATCACAGTTTGCACTTTTTCCTCCATATCTGCAGTTTTATTTATATATTTAGTTTGCCAGCTACATGCATGTATAGAAGCACATAAAAGTGGGTTGTGTTGATCTTACATATGGCATCTAGCCCTGATTCAAGCAAATTTTTAATTTAATATTCTAATTCACAAAGCGTCCATTGTAATATCCGCATGTAGGATTGTGGTGAGTATCTTAAAATCATAGGAAATTACTTCAATGACTTCAAGAAATGCAAACTATACCTAATTTCTCAAATAGTATATGTTAAATAAGAAAAATTACGCTGTACAACATAATCAGCGTCTGAAAGACATTCTATCGAGAAAAGTGGGAAAATAAAAATAGGATTTGGAAAAAGTGTATACTTTTTTATTAGTTGAGGCCCAGTTTTGGAAATAAAAGCACGTAGAGATTCTAGAGAAGCATTTTCAGAATCAATATAAAACAATTAAACCTTGAACAATAGTATCTCAAAGCTTTTCCTTAAACCTCTCTCTACTCACGCAATTGAATTTCCTGATTACGGATAAATATATTATAGATACCACTCTATTTTCATGTAAGGCAAGCATAATTTAAAGGTTTAATTCCATAGTGAAATGAAATTGGTCATCTACAATCTAACGTTGAAAGCAAGGCAAGGCTACGTTTGTTTACATATTTTGCCATGAACGTGTACAAAAAAAATGTTCATCAGAAAAAAGAGATAAATTGAAGTATGAAAAAGAAAATGAAGAAAAGGTCATGATCACCTTGAAGGTTTTGCTCCATCCATTTTGATTGCTTTGTTCTGATGTGACTAACCCACCACCATGAATAAGCATTGCTTGCCGCTCTCTGCAACATATTGGTTGTATCTACCTGTGTCTTATTATCTCTTATATTGTGATCTTAATAACGTGAGAGACTCAAAACCATGCACACCGTGTTTCCCCCATTACTCTATGTGTTTGAGATGGGGAAGAGAAGACATGGATTCCATGACAGCAAGGGACCAAGAGAAGAAAGTGGAAAAACAGATTAAGAAAAAAAAAGGAAACGTAATCAACAAAACAGAGAGAAAGAGATTCAGAGAGAGAAAAACGTGGGAACTAAGATGTTGTTGTGCTAATTATGGGATGGTGGAGGGGAGCAAAGTTCGCACGCATTTAATGTCCAAACCTTACTTTTGAAAAAGCAGTGCAATCAAATGATATAAAGAATGACATATGCATGCATTCAACGACCCACATGACTGAGCCATTGTCCAGCTTTGCTTTCTTTACACACTTTTCATCTTTCTCTCCATCTTGGTTGTCATATTAATACAAGAATCAACCATTAAATCTTCGAGGAGATTACTGTTAAAAAGATTTAGATATGTAAACTGACTCTTTCTCCATGTTAGGAAAACTTTCTAGTGGTAACATATCCAAATTGTTGAGACATGCATTGCTTGGTATTTATTATTCTTTTGGGTGAAATAATTATTTCTTTGAAATAAACTATGCAAACATACACTTTAGTTTAATAATTCAACGTGACCATTTTTTCATAATTAATTTTATATTTATATTTTTAAGTAATCATAAAATTAATACGAAATATTTATACCAGAAATTATAAATAGATATAAGGTAGATATTTTACTTTTCAACATGAGTCAATCCTAACATAGTCTAATAAATTTATATATTTTATTAGATTAAATTTGTTAGTTATCTTTAATACTTATAGTAACTAAATCTCCATTTAACTAGTTGCTTGTTTAAACTTTCCTTCGTTGCAACCATGCGTTTCGCAAACTGAGGTAACTTTTTTTTTTTCAAAGCAAATTGTTTCTCCTACCAAACTACTATGATGTTGAATTTTGAATCTAAATCTAATACATTACAAAAATTATCGTACAAAGAAAAATGCTTTGTCTAGTAGTTTCTAAATTTTATCGTACAAAAAGTTGCTTAGAAAAGGCATAACGTTAAAGGTGGCGGTGGCCGACTTTTGTCGCGGAAAGAAATATGACACTTTTGTATAACACAAAGTTTTACAAAGCTTGAGAGAGGCACCCCAATTAGAAAATTCGGAATTTCTGTTATTTTTGGAGGCACGTTCTGTTCACTACTTTGGCCTGCACTCACCTATAAATAGGAATATGTAAAACACAACATTTTCCTTTTTAAAATCTTTGACTATTTTTTCAGCAATTATGCTATTCTTTTCTTCTAACTGGAACAAGATTTGGAAAGAAAAGCAAAATCTTTTTGAAAGAGAAATCCTATCTATCGTCCAACAGTGTTACATATTCAAGTTGTTTGGGTTATTTAAAAAAAAAATCTATGTAGTAGATGTGTTAAAAAAAATGTTTATATAACATCATTCTTTAAAAATAAAAAAAAATAAAAAAATTCTGTAAACATTAGCCGCTAGGGTTATTTATGTTTGTAAAAAGTTGTCTGCGTAGTGAATTTTTCACTTATTGGAAATATTTTATTTTAAAAAATACAAACCACTCGTTAGTGAGAGCTTTTTCAAATTCTATGAAAATAGAACAAAATAAAATGAATAATTTGGAAGACAGAAAGTTAGAGGGGCAGATGGATTCCCGGGATTTTCATCGATAAGATAACATCGAAACAAATTAAGCAAAAGAAATATATAAACAATTTCATCTTATACATTAAATTAATATTCATTTATTAAGAGGCTAACTCTTTTATCATATTCCCTTTAAAAAAATGACATGATATTTTTAAAATTTAAAAGTCATATATTTTAAATTTTAATTGTTTAAAAATATATTTACACTGATCATTATTTTTTATTATCTAAATATTTTCTTTCATTTTATAGTGTTTATATTTTATTTAAATTTAGAAGTATCTATATAATGTGATATTTTTTTGGTAAGTATCTAGACAAAAATTAAAGATGATTTTTTTGAGATTTATTTAAATTTGTTTGTTAATAACAGTTTAGAGATCGAGTCCATATAATGAAATATTTGTTATCAATGTTAAATTTTTTGTTTCCTGCATTTAAAAAAAGTTTGATAATCATGTACTAATGATATAAAATAGGATTACATTGTTAACTAAACAAATAATTTCATTATTATGATTGCATACTTAATTTTTTTTAAATTATCCAATTATCATAAATGGTAATATCATTAAATGATAGTAATATTTCACTCATTTTTCTCTTTTAAAAATTAGGATTATATTATAAATATTAAATTATATTTTTGATTTTTGATTTTATTTTTAAATTTATTTTGATTTTTTATTTCCCAAATTTAGGTTAATTTAGTCATTTTGAATTCTTTTTTGATTGATTCAAAACTTGGAATTACTCTCATTAAATCCATTTATATCAAAATTATTGAATGAAATTCAAGTTTAAACAAAAAATGTGATGTATATAACACTTGTATATATATATATATATATATATATATATATATATATTTATTTATATATTTTATTATTTTTTTTTCTTGGTATATTAATGAATAGAAACAAACAAGGAGGACTACATGAAATCTAAAATAACTTCTTGCAAAATGAAATTTGGAGCACTCCTCCATTTAACAAACATCAAACTAAATTTAGCTCTTCATCCAACTAACCAATAAGCAACAACATTGCTTTCTTTAGAAATACTTTTATAATACACCTGCCAACCACGAGCCTAGAAAGTTTTTGACCTGCGATTGATAAGTGTATTCCAAAAATATTCATAGAGAGAATAATGTTTTTGCTCATTGATTAATCGGATGGGAGCCAAATTTAGTTCAACATTTATTAAATGGAAGCTAGTTTAGATTTCATATAGTTCTCTTTGTTTGTTTATATTCATTAATATACCAAAAAAATACCAAAAGTGTTATATACATGGTAAAAATTGAAAATTTAAAAAAAAATTAATTTCATACTATTTTTTAGTTGTTCGTAGGATATATTTTTCATTTAATAGTCCTTTTGAATTCGACATCAATTGCATTCCATGGTTTTTATCTGGTGAATCTAATGTTACAAGTTTTACATATTGAATCAATCAAAAATTAATTTAAAGTTGTGTCACAAAATTGAAAGTAATCATTGTTTTAAAAATAACAAATTGATTTAAATATAAAATATAAAGGAGCAAAATGAACATTTGTAGCATTGTATTTTGAATTGTTGTTTATTTTAAATTTTAATATTTAAATGATTTTGTTGATATGATGTTTTGATATTTTAGAACTTTGAAGATTAAGGAATTCTTAAGAATTTAGTTGTTTGGGGTTGTTTTATGTTGAGATCAAAGTTGATTAAGTTTGGGAGAAGGTGTGTAAAATTTTCTAAGGACTTGAACTTCATATATTCATTTCTTAAGAATTTTAGATAGAAGTTTTAGGAAAATAAGCTCTAAAGGCAAAAGAGTTCTTTTCTTATTTTGACTCCATAGGAGTGTCCCAGACATTCCCCTATAGTAGTATTGTGGTGATTGATTAGATATTTGAAACTAAGAAGCTGAGAATCAGATATTGAAGTTGATGTACGATGAACTCTCAATAAGTCTTGTTCTTTGTTGTTCTACATTCTTTTCCTTGTTTCTAGGGGATTTGAGATAAGTGAAGCTTATGATTTTATTTTCTAAGTTGAATATGTTGAATTGTTGTTTTAAATTCATACTTGAATGGTGATTTATGTTGAAATTTGAAGGGTTGAACCTTAAGGCTATGTTTTTGGGGTTTTCTTGGTGTTGGAAGGATGTTGACAATCTTGGATCATGTTGTGAATGCATGTTATGATGTATAAATGTTGATTTGAAGGTTGCATGTTGGGTTGGTATGGATTAATGGCTGAAATTGTTGAGGGAAGTTGAACTTTGTGGGTCAAAACCCTCTCCTTGCTCGATGAGAGTTTATGGCACTTAGCACTCATGCATGAATAGATGAACATTTGTCCAAAATCGCATTCTCACTTAGTGGTATATGTTTCACCCAATGAGAAAATTATTATATGTCCAAGTTCGTCCAGTGAGACATAACATGCCTAGTGGAAGGACCCCAAAGGATCCTGGTCGCTTAGCGTGATATGCCCACTCAACGAGAATTTACACATAAAAGATTGATTGCTTAGTGACAACTTAGGACTTTTATGTTTTGACTACCTGATATTTGTGTGTGTCTATGCGTACATGATCTCGTTGTAATCCTATTAAGGAGTTTTATGTTTTCAATTGATTATCCCTCTCTCTCTCTCTCTGTCTTTCACACACACACATCATTGTATGAATATCTAGGTATTGCTTGCATGAAAATCTTAGGTTAGTTGACTTTATGTTTTTCACTACTTCATTGATGTATTCTAATAAGTATAATTTTTTATAACATTTTGTGGAAAAAAGAAAAACACTAGAAGAGGGGTTGAATAATATTAATAAAAAAATCTAACATTTTTTTCTAAATAATGAAATAGTATTAAGAAACTTATGTGTGCAGACGGACAGTTAAAAAAAAAAAAGAACACAAAATATTTTATACTGATTCATCTCAACCGTTGAGATTGCATCCAATTCTTGATCAACTATATCAAGCTCTACTATCTTTTACAGAAATATAAATATTCTTTAACAAGTTACTTTTGGTTTAATCTAAGTGCTCTTTGATTTGTCTCTTCAAGCAATTATCTAAACATTCTTTGAACAACGAAACTTCTTTAGGTTTTAACAACCAATTATTCTTTTAACATCAAAGTCTCTATAGACTTCAACAATCAATTATTATTTTACAGTAAAGTATCTTTAGGCCTAAAGCAATAACACAAAGTTAAAGATGAAAAATCACTTGTTGTTTCATCTTACTGTTAAGACGTAATACAACCAATTTAAGTACAATGTTTTTACGGGAAGAATGAATATGAATTTTTACAATAGTTGCTTTATTCTTTTTAAATCTTCAAACTTCTTTATATAGGTACTTCATAAGGATGACTGTTACAAATTCTTGAGCATCTTTTGTGGACTTGTTTCGTCTTTCTACTTTATGAGAAGAAGTGTTTGTTAATGCATTAATTATGAGCATTAACACCATTTTATCAAATTGTCACTTTTTATATAATTAAGGAAACTATTTATCACCTTTTTGGTACCAAGCTGATGTGTCAGATAGGAATAAATTTTTCTAAGATTTCACATGTTTTGAGAGATTTGTTTGTCCTTTCTTTAATGTAAAACATGCTTTCATTTCTTATTGAAGTGCGAGTACCGAAAAAATTTATTCCTTTCGATTTATTAAGGAATGTAAAAGAAAAATATGATTTGGTTATCAGACATTATAAATATTATATATTAAATACATTTATCTTACAAAGAAAATGATTCAATTGATAGACTATATGTTATCATAACGAATCGTCTATGTCAATTTATCTTATAATATGATCTAGAAAATTTTTCTCTAAAATATATCTAAATTTATTACTATTAAAACTTATACCCTCAAACATCAAAGATCATTTTTTGATCTAACATATTTTAATAGATAAAGAATCAAAATAAATTTAAAAAATAAAATAAATAATCAAAAATATAATTTAACATATTATAAACTATAACAAAAATGTGACATCATCAACCCATGGTTTTGTCATCCAAACTCTTCTTGAGTAGGAAGATACTTGTCACGTACTTCTAAGAAAAATATATTTTAGTTTTATTAAATATAAAATTATGTTAAGTGTAAATTTGAAGCGATTCTTCTAGAAATTAATAAACTTATCGTATATACCACTTTATACTTCGTCAACTTCAAATTGATTGACTTTTAATGTTTTTTGTAACAATTTTTTTCATGGATAATATTATTATCTATTAGGAATCAATTTTACTAAAATGTTTTTATTCATTTTATAAGTTTTATAAATACGTAATAAGTATTTTAAGACAATAGTATTTATTAGGAAATAAAATTTTAATATTTCCTTGAATAATAAAAACATCAATCAATATTTTTTCTTTCTAATACCAAAGCTCACTAGCTCAATTTGAGATGGAGGAAATAGTATAATTAAATTAAATTATTTAGGCAAACAATAGATTATTTTTATTTTCATTTTTTTATCAGTAAAGAAAACATATATTCAAAAAGGGTACAAGGCTGCCTAAGCTCGTATACGAGAATACAATGTACTTTATGCAAAACTTTCAATACACAAGATTCATAAACCATCCAAAATTAAAAAAAAAATGAAAAATATTTTTCCTTATCAATTAATTATTATCAAGATTTAAATTTTATACCATGCACTGCACGTTGGACATTTACAAACTATCTTTTAAAAATAATATTATTTTTATGTAATTAGATAAATTATATTGAATTAATATTGATGGATATAAATGATTATAACTTATGTCTGAATTTTAATTTTGAATATGAAATGAATTATGTTGAAAAGAAAAGATTTATTTTATTGTGCACAAATGAATGTTAAAATTATTGTTAAGAGAAAAAAACCATAACGAAACAAATCACGCAACCTATCGTGTTTTTGTACATGTTTTTTTTCCTATGATAACATTAGATAATATGATTCCCGTTACCGCTGTGCATTCCTGTTAGATTGTAAAAGGAAAAGAAAAAAAATAATAATATATATATATATAAACAAAAGAAGAAAAATTTTGGTCTTTTTGGTATATATCATATAAATATTCGCTGTCTAAATTGTCTTGATTCCCTTGTCTTATGGTCCTCTTTCCATGGCATGTTCTTCAGAGTGCCTTTAATTTCGAGGGCAAAGTCCTATGTTTCATTGTAACTTCATAACAACAATGATTTTATCATAGTTTATACCGTCATGCATAAGATATGGAGTGCGATTTCAAGTATCACTTTTATGGAATCTAATTCGTCTCTCACACACACGAAGATATATTAATAATACGAGTGATATCAACTAGACAACCTCATGTTCTAGAAAAGAAAAATATGAAGAAAATTTAAAATAAATTTATACATGAGTTAAAAATAAAATTTTAGAAAAATTAATAGAAAAAATATTTTACAAATTAACTTGTGCATAAGTTAAGAAAAACTTATTTTATTTTGCTTTCTATTTATTTTTCCATTAGAAGTGTTTATAAAGAAGTTTACTCAAATAAATCCTAAAACAAAATAATGTTTTTATAATTAAAAATAAAATTAAAACATTTTGTTGACCCAAATTTACCTCTTTTCTCAACATCAATAATGTAAACAGTTACACTTTTAGGAAATGTTTGATATATGACAAATTTTTTTATAACTAAAAATCATGATTCATAAGAATTGTGATTCTTAATAATTATGAAAATTTATTTGATTGATCATAAATATTTTTAAAAATAATTTTAAATTGTGAATCAAGATTGTTACTGTATTAAATAAAAAATAAAAGTATTACATTAAAATTTTATTTTTACCTTAAAAAAGTTAGTTTTTCAACTTCTCATAAGAATAAAGTGGGAAACAAATGCAAAAATAATTTTTAATAAATAATGTTTTTTAAGAATGTTATTTTTTAAATAATAAATCACATGCTAAAAATTAACATTCACAAAATTAGTTAAAAAAATAATTTTTTTTGTGTATCAAATATTCCCTTAAGGCAAATCTCAAAGTTAAGGAAGAAAGGACCATTTTCTCATCTAATTGAGAAAAGCTATGTGGCTCCCCTTTGCATCGCACCTTCATGTGGTCCATCACTTGATATGGCAATTTGGATCAAAAGGGAAAAGGGTTATTCAGCCAACATGATATAGGGAAGGGATGAGGGGGAATTGCAGAATTGGATTTAAGAAGAATCAATCAAAAATGAAAAGATGGCAAAAGAAAGGAGGAAAGAAGAAAGGAATGTAGTTAACTGGAAAAAGTGAATAATATATTCTGATAAATAAAAAACAAAAAAAAAAAACAGAAGAGAATAATATATTACAAAAACTAAACATTCCAAAGAGAAGTGTTATCAACCAAAGCATATTGCTTCTCTAAATTAGTTATATTTTTGTTTTCCATGTACATAATCTAGATTTTGATTTTAATGACTATATATCAACCAATCACAAATTTATTACAGTACATTTAATCAATTTTCTTCATAAATTAACATATTATATAATAAAAATAATTACTGAATAAATGAATCATATAAATGTCTATTGCATTCTCCCTTTCATGTGTTCAGTTACCATGAGTTACCCAATCTCATCTTAAATTCAAAAGACGACTCATCCAATCCTCTATTATAACTCCATATCCACATTAAAATCCCCTTTTTATAGTTTCACTATAGTGATTGATAGCACATAAAATTTGAGTTTAATAGGTATGAAGTATAAATTATCAATTAATCAGAAATTATTAATATAATTTTATAATTATTTTTACACTATTAATCAATTAAAAATAATTATTAATATAATGTTTATAGTTGTTATTATAAAAGTTATCGTGATAATCTGTAACCGAATAACATTGTAGAACTAATTTACATTAGGTAGCCAGTAGTCTATTCACATAATCTTCTAGATTGAAGATTTTCATTTCAATTTAAGCTTTTACAATAAGAGGAGATGATTCTATGTACAAAAAATGCATTAGATGGATAAGGGATTATTTAGCTCCTCTACTTCTAGAAGGTTATCAGAAAGGTCCGTAGTAATAGATGTTTGTTTTCTACGCTTCAAAATTCTGAATAGAAGCCAGCCAGTGTTCCAAGTAATTCTTGCCAGCTGCAAATGCAGTCAGTAATCCAAAAATACAATGAGTACGGTTTTGTAGTCTCTTCAAAAGGCAGATACACAAATATAATGGTACACATGAATGTATCAACGGATCATAAGAATAAATAGTAGTGTAAATCAATGCTTTCACTCCACTGATTTCCAACAAAAAATTCAATGTAAAGTCCCTGCCATTATTAATTACAATTTCCCTAAATTTGATTAGTACAAACATCTCAATTAAAAATGGCCGGTTGTTATTTTAAACACGATAGTGCCTAACTTACAGTTTAGGATGTGCAACTGTTACAAGTTCAATCAACTTGATCCGTGTGTCTTTGGCTACAAGATGATTTAAGTCTAAACGTTCATTCAACCATAAAGATCAGAAAAACCATGATTCATTTTCCATGGACAAGAAAGAAACGGTTCCGAGATAGAAAGGAAAGAAGGTGTTCTGCTATCATATCTTATTAAGATATCATATAGTACACTATACGGTATCTTTTATTACTATTTATTACTGGGAAAAAAATTGCAGGGTCGAAGATGAAAGAAAAGTATGAAGTCACATGACCGTGGTAAAAAGGAAGTCAGTGATCAATTGGCAGTGGCTTGTGTAGGGTGGAATTTAGGGACTTGAATCAGATTGTGAAGGTAAAGCTACTTTAGTGCATGACTTTTTATCTCTTATGAAAACAACTTAGTAAAAGTGATTTACCCCCTTAGCAAAAATTTCAAGCTAAGACTTTATATACATATATATAATAAGAATTTGATTAAAGAAAAAAAAAATCGAAGTACATAACAGAAGCATCAGGAAACCTCCTGGAAAAGAAGATACAACCAAAATTAGCTCATATAATCAAAGCAGTTTCTTTGCAAATTAGGCATGGAAGCATCCAGAAAATATAAGTGAACCCAAAATCCAAAAACAAGCCATTATGGTATCTGGCTATCTGCGCACACACACCAAAATACAAAAATAAAATACATAAAAAACAAAGGCCTTTTAGATCGATGCATCTGTAGACAAATTACAATTATAAGAAAAAGATAAACTATGTGTTCTATATCATGCAGTACTATGTATTTGCCTATTTGGATTTAGCGAGTTAGAAGCCCCAATTACCATTTCACCTATAATTACTAAGCAGTGCATTAGCATCTGATAATGACAGACACATTTCTTCTTTAGCATCAGAATCATCAACAAGGCCAAATCAAGTCAAAAATTATAGATTATAGAATAACATAAAAACTTAAAAAACACCTGAACAAGGATTGTTTGACTTTAAATAACCAGCACAAAAAAGGTTAATCAACTCCGAAAAAGTTAAAACAGCGGTAGGAGTCTGAAAGAGAACAAAACAACTCAATGAAAACAAAGTTACACATTTCAAGAGCACGTTCAGAATCTTACCGGAAGAAAACTCATTTGGAAGGTTCTTGATGGCACTTAGAAGCTCCTTGTTTGAACTCTCCACCTCCTTCCTATAGCAAGGAACCAGCACAGCGAAACTATTATCCAAATCATCATCACTCTGAAGAAAATCAGAGCCATGAGGCTCCAACCACCCAATGGACCAATCAGAGTCATCAGTTTCAGAGCCAGACAAACAGCCATCACCATCAGATGGCACCAACACAACATCATACTCCCTATCAAGCCTCCTCTCTTCCCTGCTCTGCCATTTCCTCTTAACCTTCCTGTGAGAAGGAGCTATCTTTGTCCCCTTCACTGAAGGAAAAAACTTCACAGTCTCTCTCTCCTTAAAACCCCATTCAGAAGATGAATTCAGTGGAGAGCCACTAGAATTGGGCTCTTTCTCCTTGCCACCCCACAACCACCATGACAAACGTGTCAAAGAGACAGCCATACTTCGGATTGGGATTCAGAGCTAAAGAGTTGCAAAGATTGAAGCTCTTTTGGAGGCCAAAGATTTGTGAAAGAATGAGGCGAAAAAAATTGAGAAACGGAATGGCCAGTGGTTCCTGCCTGTTGCAGTGACCACTATATTAGGAAATAATCCATTTCATTAAACAAAAGGCAATCAATTGGAAACTGGGGCATAGTAATAAATTCAACCCAACAAACCTATTGATATCAATAGCAATCAATAAAAAAACACTTTTGATAAAAACGACACAAGCGGTGATCAAACAGAAGCAGTGAATTTACCAAGGTTTTCTCAAATATCAAACCCAATTCAGCAAGTTGAAGTACTTAGACTAGATCCATTTCCCAAAATTGAATGTCAGCCAAAATCATCTCACATATTACACTCCCAGAAAAGCACAAAAGAATATTTAAAGGTAAGATAATTATCAGAATCTCAAAAGAATAAATTTTATCTTGGTTTTTGTTTATCAAAAAGACATCAACCCCAAATCTCAAACACAATGACACACACTCAAGCTCGCTCTACTCAACGCAAAATCGAAAAGGACACGAAATCCAGTGAAAAATTTTGAGTAGAGACCTTAGCTTTAGGTCAAAATCAGGAATTCCCCCAAACTAAACCCACCTAAGAATCACCAAAAATTCCCATACTTCTCGCCGGAAAAACCGAACCTTTCGAACGGCTACGTTATCGGAAACAAAAGAAGGAGAGATCGGAGCTAGAGTTTTCTCCGGCGAAAGAAAAAAGCCGGCGACACAATGCAAAGACTCAGTAAGTTGAATTCGAAACCCTAACTCGCCAATCCTCCCTCCCTCTCTCTCTCTCACTCTCTAATCGTCTTCCTCCTTCTGCTTCTGTTTCTGGGTACACTGAGAAGCAAACCCAATCGCTCAAAACCTCGTCTTCATCTGAATTTATAGAGCTATTTTTTCACCTCTTCCATCTTTTCACATCCAACGGTTCAGATTGCACCGGTTATTCTGATGTACGCCGGCTTACCCTCTTACTCTGCACCCTCACTCATCTTATAATAATTCATTCTGGCCTATAGCATAAAGTAGTTAACAATTTAACAAAAAAGATATACGTTTCTTTAATCAGATAATATTGGACGTTGATTCGGTGATGAGAGATATAATAACCGTTCAAAGTTGCTGACGTGGGTGACCATTGCCCCAATCATGGGATGCATGTGCGGTTCAACTTGTTGACACGTGTCATAACATTTGCCTAAAATAATTCTATCATGAATAATTAACGATTAAGTTAAATTAAAGATGTCGTGTTTTCCTTTCTAAGTTTTTCCACTTGTTAAACATTTATTAGTTGGCAACAGTAAATGTTAGTAATATTTATATTTATAGTAAAAATTAGCATATTTAAATATTTTTAAATTGTCAAATATACTGAGAATAAAACAAAATATTGTAACATAGTTTATCTTCTACAAACTAGGAAACTAGGAATCTCTTTGACCATTTAACGACTACAATGTCAGCGTACATATTACCATTTTCACATAAAAATTGCACTGTATGTGTTGGAAAGTTCTACATCACCTGTACATAACAACTTTAGTAATCTTAATATCTAAAATAAATAACTACTAAATATATCATTAAATAAAAATCACGAATATTCATTGGTGATTCTTTCTGTATGAGTAATTTAAGATGTTGCATGGACAAATAATTAATTTTTCAGGTTAATTAAGAGGACACGAAACACCTTCGTAATTGATCCGCAAACTTCAACGAAATGGATTGAATTCATTCATCATTTTTTCTACGAGCAAACTGAAAGGTGGGTGTCCATGGAGTAATCAATACTCAAAGAATATAGAATATAGAATATAGAATATGAGAATTAAGTAATGTAAAAAAGATCGCAAAGCCAAAACGATGACAAGCATTGACGTACCAAAAAAAGAGTGTGTTTTCTCATTGGATTTTCTTAGAAAGAGCTCCTTCAATTGACTTTTGCCCCTTTGGCTCTCTTCTTTCAAAAGATTTTAGTCGTTACCGTTTGGTTAACGTTATTGCTATTGCTGATACATTATCTAATTTAAATCATTGAGTTGCAAGAATTGATGTTTGAATATAGTAATTAGGATAGTTGTATAAACGAAACAAAGTTTTCATGATATATAAAGTATATAGTAATAAGGGACGCTCACATATTTAATAAGATCCAATATAGTTAGAGTTATATATAGATAGTCATTGATCTAACGACATTTCTTTGATCGGATTTAGCCATCCATTTTCATTTTTTGTGGTGTCACCGATGACATACAATCCAATATGTTAAATATGCTATCCACATAGTACCAGCTGGTCTATATCCTCTTATATTTATAAATTCTTATTCTTATAATTTAATTTAAAACTAGTTTAAATTTATTTTTTACTCACTATTTTTATCACTTTATCTGGTGGAAAGTGGGGTGTTTCAAAGTAGGAGCACAAAGCATTGTTGATATATATTTTATGTAGTGATGTTGAACTTTTAATGATGTTTTTTTAAGGTATCTCACGAGATAAATTTTGGCCGAATCTAAGTGTGCTGAAAATGTTAGAAGAAAAAAAATATATCAAAACTACTCGAAGAGGAGAAGAAAGTTTTGATCATTGGTACTTTATTGCATTTAATAAAATTTTATATTACTTAATGAATTTAATTTGTTCACTAATAAAAAAATTATATCATCAACTAATTATAAATAAATATGGATATAAATTTTAAAATAATTATAGTAAAAAACCAACAATCTTATTATACATTCCAATTCTTTTCTTAAATATGATTTTAATTTTTGTAAAATCAACAAATTTTAATTTTGATTCCTATAAAAAAAATATTAATTTTCATCTTCTAAAATTTAGAAATTTTGTTTTTAATTCCTATTATTATATAATCATTTTTAATTATTTATTTATTAAAATGTTAAATAATATATCTCAAGTATTACCAACAACTATTAATGATATCATGTGTGTGATTCCTCTAAAAAAACATTTATTGGTATTAAAATAAATGCTATTTATTTACCTTAAAATTATCATTAGAGACTAAAAATAATATTTTATTTTTATTTTAGATGGATGAAAAGTAAAGAAAAATATTGTACAAGGATCAAAATATAAGTTTACTCATTTTACAAGAATAAAAAATATTTTATAAAAACCAAAACAATGTTTACAACTTTTTTAAGGATGATAAACAAAAAAAATTACAAAAATTAAAATGAACTCACTTATTTTGTAAGGATTAAAAATATATTTAGAATTTTTTTTATAGATAAATTTATACATGTTAATCTAATTAATGATTATATAAAAATTACTTATATATATATTTTTTATTTATTGACATGATTCACGTAGTATTACAAAATCAAATATTAATTTATGTTCTTAAGATGTAACTTATTCTAGTCAAATATTATCTTATTTAATTAGTTATGATTTTTTTTACAAGATAAGTCTAGTTAGTTGCCTCTCTCATGTTTTTTAACGAACCTGATTTTAAAAAAAATATATTTCCATTTTATTTTCTTTTCCTTTTACTTTTATATAATCTCTCTCCTCAAAAAAATTTAATAAGTCTTTATTTTTGTAATACCCTTTTTAATTTTTTCGTAATTTACTAAATCAATTTTTTGTCTTCAAGTAAATATAAAGTTGTCAAAGGATAAGCTGTTACCATATTATTAGTTTTATTATTCTATGTGGAGTTTGTTAACAACCAACGTTAAGTTAATATTTTAGTCGGTAACTTCGACATTTTGGCCTTCATCTTTTCTCTTTCACATCTCCTCTGCTCCTTCTTTCTTCATTCCGAGCTTATGCATGTTGTTGACCTCATCAATCATGGTTTGTGAAAGTTATCGCTTCATTATGCCCCTGCATTCATTGTTGTCTCTCCTTCTTCGTTGCTTCTCTGCTACATGCAACCTCCTAGCTAGGTTGTCTCTCTGTCACGATTATATGATTGGTTTGATTGGTTTTTGAAGTTTTTTGATGGCTAGTTGGGACTATTATATGAGCACTATATTACTAAGATTTGGTTCTTATTTTGTTGCACTAAGTGTTTGTATAATTATCTAAACTAGTTTTGGTTTAGTTTGGCTTCATTTTGGCACCACTATAAGCATGAAAATCTGCCTATAACTTGGTAATTTTGGTTTAGTTTGGACACCACAAAATATATATCGCAAGTGTAATTAGACTATAAAATATAGTAATTACTCATATAATTTACACTATAAACTTAGCCTTAATATTGGCACAACTATAATCTATAAACTTAACTTATACTAATTAAAATTAGTTAAATTAAATTAAATTAAATTAACTAAATTAAATTAACTCAACTAGTATTTAGTATTGTTAATTCGTAGTATAGTTAGTTTTGTTATATAGTAATTAAATCAGTATAGTTAATTAGCTATATCCTGTAAACTTAGTTTTTTTTATAATTTAAATTAGTCTAATAATTAATTTAAATTGACATATAAAAAATTAAATTAATTAAATTTAGTGTATATTAATTGTAATTAAAACTAATTGGGATCTACCTTATAAACTTAGCATATGGAAAATTTAATTAATTAATTAGACGTACTCAATAAGTTTAAACATAGTCTTTACTATAAGTTTAATTAATTTAATTAGATTTGCCTTATATAAAATATATTTAAATTAAATTAATGAAACTTACTTATATTAAGTTTAATTAGTTTAGTTATGTATATACTATATCAAATATATAGAGATTTGCAATAAATTGTTATTTGTAATTGAGACGTGTAATTTAATTTTGTAATTTCTATATTTACTTTCAATTTTCACTATATTTGATTTAATATATGTTTAAATTTGTTTTCCATTGATGTTTTTTTATTCACTGTGTGTGTGGGTGGTTTTTATTATTATTATTATTATTATTATTATTATTATTATTATTATATATATTTAGGTTATACATGCATTGAATGAACCTTAATTTTATGTCTAAGATTCAACAAAAATGATGATAGTGTTAATTATTTGTATTAAATATTGAATTGTTTGGTTAAATACTTTGAGAATATTATTTTTAAAGTTGGTTAATACATAAAAATTAAGTACCTCGCATTAAATTTTATGAAATTTTGGTTTGTTCTTTATATACATAGTTGATTATAGTTGATTTGGTGTTATCATTTTCATTTATATGTACTTAGAGATCGATTAATGTAAAATATTGATGAAATTTTGTCAAATTCAAAATATTAATCAAGTATGCAAAAAGTCTCCTTAAATGAGATAATACAACCTTACATTGAATTTTTTAAAAATGATATTAATATGCATGGTATCGATGTTAATAGACTTTTTTCAATGTAGTCATGGATCAAAGTTTGGATGCATGCAAGTCACCTTAATGAAGAGTATCAAAAATGAAATTGAGAGTTTTTAATAATTTTTTAGCGAAATGGAAAATATTTTAAGGAGAGATATTTTTATCCATGTGTTTATTGTTTAATTCGAAATGACATAAAGTTGAGAGGATATGCGAACACATTATTTGTGATAGAATCTTCAAGAGTAGTTATATATAAAACATGAATATGGTGTGGTATTAGACATGCCAACCATGTCACAAGTAAAGGATGTTGATATATGAATCGATGATCGTTTAGAGAATAGATTGATGATATTGGACAAAAGTTTTTCTAATGAGTATATGTGTACAATAATTGTAAGTGCGATGTATAGCATCTTTTGTATCCGAGTTGCACTAATTTTACATGATTGTTAGTGGTGTTAAGATTGTTCAATTAATATAAAAGTAATAAATGAGTGGATAAATTAAAGTTTCACTTAATAGTTGAAGTTGTTGAAGGAGATATTTCTAGATGA